AATCCCCAAAACATGTTAATAAGGAGGATGCACAGGATGATCCCCTCTTGTAAAAGAGGAAACAGGACAACAGGATGTGGGGCCTGCTGGAAGTTCCAGTTTTCCTTGGCAGGTGGCCTAGGTGTCATGGCCCCAAGACTGCCAGTTGTTGTCTTCCTGCTGTCCTTCTGGTCAACCACTGAACGTTTCCCCGAGCAGCTCCTCTGTTAGCCTGCCCCAGGCTGGTTGCTGGGGACAGGCATGCCTCGGGCATCAGCTCTGCCCTCTAGGAGCCACAGTCTAGCTGGGGAGACCAGCGGAAGCTCACTGACATAGGACAGCTGTAAGGCTGGGGTGGGTGTGGGGCCGTGGTTCATGGAGGGATTCTAAGAGGAGGAAATTTGACCCTGCTCTTCCCATGGGACTAAGAGCACGAGGGGAGGCAGGGGAAAGGCCTAGGGAGGGCAGCAGTGGGGACACAGGGCCAGGTGGACTGAGGGTCGTGGAGGAGAAGCCTTGGACGGCCTTGGTGAGAGAGCAGGTGGGGAGGAAGGGGAGAAGGCAAGGAAGGCGCCCAGGTTCCTGGCCTGGGGACCAGGCAGATAGAGCCAGCAACTGAGAGGGAGACTCAGTGAGCCCCGGGATAGAATTCCATCAGGCTGGGTACCTGGGAGCTCAAAGCAAAAGCGGGCATCTCGTGTAGTCACTGAGAATGCAGGCCTTGCTCTTACCCAGGCTCCTGGTCTCAAACCTCCAAATGGACCACACAGTAGGGTTGGCAGAGGACCTCAGCTCCGTGTCTCCACTGTGAGGCAGAACAGGCAGCTGGGTCCTCGTGAACCCCCAGGACAGGACAGGACGTCTGGGGCCAGTAGGGTGCTACGTGTACTGTGTAGACTTTCACATAGCAGAGGACACTGGCTTGGCAACAAAGTAGCCAGTTGGCCAGTTGGGGGGCAGGTTTAACGCCCCAATCCTAAACCACCATCTGTCTTAGAGAAGCCATTGGTGGAAACCAGGGGGATGGAGGTGGGCATGGGGGCAAGGTCCTGGGGGGTAGGAGGAAGGGGCCACCCGGCTCGGAGCGCCCCACCCCACATGCAACTCACCAAAGCAGCGATGCCTTTCCAAGGTCTGTACCTGTTACCAAGATTTTGGGAAACCTTAGAATTAATTTTTAAGTTCATCTGATGGAAAAGATTAAGAAAACCTGAAGGAGGAGAACCCTCCTAGATAGGAATGTGAATTATAAAACCGAAATCATTTTTCAAAAAGGGTGGCAGAGGGAACTCAGAGGATCAAAGGATGATAGAAAACCTGGCCCTATAATAGGTAAAGACCTTCAAATGTGATGAAAAAATGCACGTCAATGAGACAGAAAGAATTAACAGATGATCTCAGGATGTTTAAATATTTTGGGAAAAAGTCAATTGAGAGCCTCACCTTGCACTCCATGCCAGGCTAATTCTAGAACCAATAAAAGACCTAAAGTTTCAAACACTGAAAGAGGGGCACCCGGGTGGCTCAGTCGGTTAAGCATCTGCCTTCTGCTCAGGCCATGGTCTCAAGGTCCTGGGATCCAGCCCCGTGTCTGGCTCCCCACTCCATGGGGAGTCTGCTTCCCCTCTCCTCCCCCTCTCCCTGCTCACGCTCTCACTCTCCCCCTCTCAAATAGATGCCCTCAAAACAATAAATAAAACACTGAAACCTCAAAAAATAAAACACTGAAAGAAACCACAAAGGATGCAGGTGTCTGCAGACCTGCCGAGGCCTGTCTCTTCTTAGACCAGCGGTACTGAGTGGGCAGGAGGCTCAGAGGGGGGTCTGTGATAGGAAATTGGTTTTGTAATAATGCTCGAATTGTCTCGGCCTTTTTCAGTCTATCTCATGGGTGCGCAATGGAATTTTTCAGAGGCTACGTGAGAAGTGATCTTGCAAGAGATTGAGTGCAGAAGCGGGTGTGCGACTCCAGCTGTCTTCCATTGAGCCAGGCTTCAAAGAAATTTGCAAAAAAAAAAAAAAATGCAGAACAATGCCACTCTTCTGACTCGTTTTTTTGTTTTGTTCCGGGAAATAAGAGAGTTTTCATTAAAATATGCTACTCGTGCTGTCATGTAATGAGTTTGCTTTCAAAATAGTATTTTCAGACATTCTCCATTTTAACATGGTGAACATTGGTAAGTAAGATCTACCTAAGCAAAACCTCTTCAGGGTCCTAAGTGATTTTCAACGGTGCAAAGGGACTGTGAGACCCAAAGGTTGGAGAACTGCTCTCGGTCCGCAGGCATGTGGGCTGGGCCTGTTATACCCATCCGCAGACCCCCAGCACCCAGCACATCCACCCATGCAACAACCTGCCACAGGTGTATGGAGTGCCTACCACGTCGTGTTGTTACAGGTACGATGATACAGCCATGAGCAAAAGGGACAAAACCTATGTGTCTGCGTCGTGTTGTTGGGTTAGAGGCTAGTGGGCACTGTGCCCGAGAGTGGATCGGCTCTGTAAGAAGTCAAAATTTCAATTAAGACACACACAAAGGTAGAAAACCGGACACATGGACAGCAAATATGACACACAACAGGTTAATATCTTTAATATATAACGAGCTCATACAAATTTATCAGACCCCGGTAGATAAGAGCAAATGACACGGACGATCCACAAAAGAGAAAATACAACTGCTTAACATGGAAAGATGTTCAACTTTGCTAGAAAGCAAAGAAATGCAAACTGAAACACAATGCTATGTTTCATATGTATCGTTATTTCATTACTGTTTCAGATTAGCAAATATTTAGCCAGAGGATAATACTCAGAGCTGGCGAGATGGTACAGTGGGCATGTACATCCTGGCTGGCGGCAGTGTCGATGGATACAAACATCGCTGGAAACCAATCTGTCAATATGTAACAAGAGGCTCAGAGGTGTTCATATTAATTCAATAATCCCACCTCTGAGGATCTATCCTAAGGAAATAACTTGGCATCGGGGAAAAGCGTTATGCACGAAGACGTTCTTCCATTTCTGATGGTGAGAAATTAGTAACGGCATGGGTGATCAACCACGGGCACTACTGTCCGTCTACGTGGTGGAGGACACAGCCATGTCAAACTGAAATTAGTAATAACATGTGACGGGGGAAGTCCCCTGATAAAAGTGAAAACACCTACACAATATTGTATCATTACAGAAGGTAGTATCACCACTACGTGGCAACAAAAAGAAGAAAAACCATGATGGATGGAGGGGGGAGGGGGGGGAAGGAAGGTAGGGGCCTGGCAGGAGAGCCACCAAAATGTTCAAATTTCACTTCTCACTTTCTATCTTATTCTCCCAGATTTCTAGGTGTAGGTTTGCTTTGATAATGAAAAGACCCAGTACACGGTTACTCGCCCACGGGAAGGAGTTAGTGACGTTTCAGTGAGGAGCTAGGGTCCCTCCCACCTCCTCCACCGCGGCTGCACTGTGCCAGCCGCCACCACACCCCAGGTTAGGACCCTGAGAGACGCCACGGGGTGGTCAGCTCTGTCCACATAGCAGACCTGGCCTACACCCACTCCAACCCCTGGGCTGGCAAGCTACACTGTTGACCAACAGGTGCTCTGCACTTCCTTCTGCGGAGTCCTGTCTCGTCTGCAGCTCTAAACCCCCAGCTAATGTGTCCCAGGCACTGGGCATCTTCGTGTTTCTGCAAGGATCTCCTCCTCCTCCTCCTCTTCCCACCCAAGCTCTGCTGCTGGCCGTGGCCCCCAGGCGTGTTCTCTTATACACCCGTAGGGCTCGCCCCCTTAAAGTAGCCTAAGTACGTGCCCAACTGTCCCTCACATTTCTCTCTCCTACGGGCCAAGCTGCCAGGACTGTGTTCACCCAGCAAGTGGTCGGTCATGCTTGACGGCAGGGGCCCACGCACCAGGAAAGTCATACCAGCACCTTCTGGGGGGGGGGTGGTTTGCACCCCTGTCATTACTTACTCATCATATACTTACCTAGGACCCATGAAACAAGTCTTTGCTTTTTTCTAGAAGTCGCTGAAATGTTTTAGGACATTACGTTAATCCCAAGGTCACGCTATGCGTTCGACCAGGAAGTCACTCCTTACTAGAAATTCCATCCCGAATGATGCCCTGTTATGCCAGGAGGCCTACTTACCAGATGGGGTAGCAGGTAGACCGGAGAAACCACAATACAGCTCAAATAATGTCAACACCATGAAAAACATAAAACTTGCCCTCACATGCACCGTTTAACACTACTAACTGCCTGTCCTTTTTATAAATCAATACCTTTTCTCTTAAATTTAGAGAAATTACAACCCAGAGTCTGTACAAAGCAGCTCCCCTCCCCCACCTCCTTCTTCAGCTTGACCCTCCCCCACCCACAGTCTGGCTCTGGACTGCATGGCGCTTGGGTCTCCTCCTCTTCCACTGGGACCTAGGGAGTCTTTCACCAGGGCCACAGGGGATTCCCTGCATGTGGGGCTTCTTCCGAGTCGGATGGGGGGCAACCCCCTGAGCCTCCTGTCTACTCACTTCCAAAGCTGCAGGAAGTGGTCCAGGTCACAGATGTGCAACAGCAGCAGTCCCGAGCCCCAAAACAAGCACCAACAACCGAAACACAAGTCATCACGCCAAAGGGAGCTGGAGCAGCAGCCTGGGTCGGGCGAGACACCCCCGTCCAGAGGGCCGGGGCCCCATACACAGCGAAGCCAGTCCGCCCCCCGCAGCTCAGGCCCTACTACACCCAGCTGCACAACTTAAAATGCTGGGCACACGCAGTGCAAGCATCATGCGATTTCTGCATGCCGCGTGGGTAGGCCCAGGGGTCAGCGAGATGGCAGTTCCCACTCCGCTTCCATGCTGGGTTTCCTGCCCTCGCCCGGGGCCCGTGGAAACTTTCACGATGCCTGCACCCGTTCATCTGCGGGCACCTCCATCCAGCAGGTGGACAGTAGACACTGAGCGCAAAGAGAAAGTGATCTGTACACCCCCCACTAAAGGTCCCACCCCCCAGAATGGTGGCCCCAATGTGTGTCCTCCCCCCCCCCATTCATGCTTAATGAGCACCATGGTCCCACCTGAACAGCCGTGGCTGGAATCCAGGGGGGCCTGAAGCCTGTAGTCAGGCAGTTGTTCAGCAGGGCAATTGGGCTAACAGAGTTTACAATGAGTGGGTGGCAGTGGCCCACGAACCCCAGCAACCACTGAATATCCTTGACCTTGCAAGGCAGTGGCCGCTTCGAGAACGCAGTCACCTTCCCCAGCATCATCAAAACTCTTACGAAGAAAGGACCCTAGGACCCAACCTCTGGGTATCCCAAGACACAGGTCTTCAGGTGGGTACAGAGGTTATCCTTCTGCGATCAAGCCAGGACCATTCAGACAGGGTAGATGGACCCAAGGTGAGACACCCTATCTTCCCCCGTGGTCCAGGCCATCACATAAATGCAGTTCGTTTGACATTAAATATGGCGAGAGCATTGCGGTCCAAAGGGCTTGGCCAAGTCTCATTTAGAAAGTGATTTCTGAGCATCCCCTGTGACGAACCAAAAGGCCATCCACCATAAGAGGTACAGCCCTGTCCCTCAGAATTAGGACCCAAGTGCCAGTTGTGTCCTGTCTCCACATTGGGACCAAGGTAGACTGCAGCTCTTTCCTTTACAAATGCCACCAAGGCCCATTGACCATCGGGAAATACGCCTTCCGTAAGTGCTTCATGATGCATCCCAGAGGATTTGGGTCTCCAACTAGGAGTCTGTGTTTTCTTAGACCAAGGCTGGACACGTGATGGGACAGCCCAGGCATGGGGAGGGCATGCTACGTGGGGCTCTGGAGACCCGGAGGTGGTGTAGGTGCCTGAAGGGGCTAAGGTGAAAGCCAGATATCACCTGAATGGAGATGGGAACAGGTCTCAAGCTAGACAGGCTTATCGCCAAGTGATATGGGGCAAAGAGGAGGGGGTGATGGATGGCACACACCAGCTGGTGGTGGTTCCCACTGGGGGGCCCAGGGGAGCAGAGTGAACCACTGGTGCCTTCCCCTTAACCCGCTGCAGGCCTCAGGCAGAGATGTACATGAACTTGCTCCCTGTGGTGGCTCGATGGAACCGTGCAGTGATCCAAAGTCACAATGACCTCCTGTGGCAGGCAAGTTCCAGATTCCCAGGATGCCCAGCACTATCAGAACACTGGCAACTAAAGCTCAGCATTCCTGGAGGTGCATCCTCTGGGGGCTTCTCCATCAAGTGGCATTTGCGGTCTTTCCCAGGGGCAACAACGGGACATACTGACTGTGTTCATGTGCAGAGCGAAGCCTTCCTGCCGGAAGTGCTGATACTACCCTCCCAGCAGTGAACACCTGGCCACGGCAGCACGGTCGAGGCCCTGCCGGTCTGCTATATCCAGGCCTGGCAGGGCTGGTGGTCACCTACAGTGCAAAGCCAGACTCCCCTCCCCAGGTCCCCCAAACAAGCGACCAGCCTGGCCTAAGTGGCTCCCCTCTTATCGTCAGAGGGGAGCTGCCACGGGGGGGGGGGGTGCGCGTGCCTGCACAGAGTGGAGGAAGAAGGTCTGTGAACCTAGTCAGGCTGGGAGAGTTCAGCCCAAGTGGTCTGCAACGGGCTGTGGAGTCACCGTGACCGAGTGGCAGAGTGGCGGTCACCAGGAGAGCTGGGGCTGCAAGCAGGAGAGGGACACATGCACTGTAGGTACAAAGCTAGCACAGACGACTGGGAAGCCAGGTGGGTGACAGGGAGCCCAAGGGTGATGAAGGACGATCTCCTTATGGAACAGGTCTGGAGAGGCAGGAGGGAATGTCTTCAGACAGGGGAGATGCTGTCGTATGGATATTTCTTCTATGTAGCAAAGGGTGGATGCTGTCTGCGTGGCTGCAGAGGCGACCCGGCCGGTGGGCGATTCTTAGAGGTCCCGAGCTCGGGTGGGCAGAGCCGGCGCCGGACTGGTCCCGTTGGAGGCTGGATGCACCGGGCAGGGCCCCGAGCCCGTGGCAGCCAGCTGGCGGCACAGCATCTGCCGCTCGCGCACCGCCCGATTGGAGGCACAAGTCTTCCGGATTTGGGCGCGCCGCGCATGCCGCAGGGGAGACTTGTAGGTTCTTCGCAACTCGGCCAGGAAGCCCTGATAGTCGTTTCGCAAGGGGCTGTCGGGCTGCATGTGGGGGATCGCCCACTTCTCTGCCTCCCCAGTCAGCCGGGACACGAGGAACGCCACTCGCTCGGCCTCCCCGGGGAAGCGCGAGGCCTGGAAGATCATGAACCTGTCCATCTGCATCAAGAACCCCGCCAGCTGGCCGGGGTCTCCGGAGAAGGGCTCGGGCAGAGAGGTCGGGGGCGTGGTCATGGGTCGGGTCCCGTTGGAGGTGATGGCTGAGATGGGCGGGGTGATCTGCAGCGCCCCGGGGATGCGGGCCCTGGTGCGCAGCAGGGTCAGCTCTGCCATCACGCTCTCCAGCATGTTGGTGAGGTTGGCCTTCTCCGCCCGCAGGGTGGAGGCCTCCCGCCGGAGCGCCGAGTTGGTGAGGCGCAGGGAGGTCAGGGTGTCGATGACGTCATCCATCTGGGCATTGGTGGACGCTGCGGGGGCCGGGCTTTCGGCTTTTGAGGTCTGGGGTTGCACCATGGTGGCGGGAGGTCGGCCAAAGGCCGGGGCTGGAGGGCGCGAGGGGTCACGGGGAACCGGAGCACCTGGGCTGCTGGAAGTGGGGAGACCCCTGCTGCAACCAGGGAGAGGCCAGGAAGACCCAACCACACGGGCGGGGCGGGGCGGGGCGGACGGGGGCGGCCGGGGCCCGCCGGGGGTGCAGGCCCCGCGGGACGCCGATTCCGGGGGCCGGGGGCGGCTCCTTTATCGCAAACCCCACGGGCCCAGGGCGGGCTGCACCGGGGGCTGGGCTGCTCCTGCAGGAGGAAAAGAGGTTTTCAGAAACGCCAGGGCTGCGCGGGGAGGGGGAGGGGAGGCGGGAGGGCAGGGGAGGGGAGGGGGAGGGGAGGCCACGGGAGGGGGAGCGGGCGGCGGCGCCCGGCCCCGAGCCCCCTCCCCGCGCGGGCCCCGCGCCCACCTGGCGCAGAACAAAGGGCGGCTGCACCTGCGGCGGCGCGGGCCCGGGCCGGCGGCGCGCGTACCTGGCTCTCCGCGGCTCCCTCCGCGGCTCCCTCCGCGGCTCCGTCTGCCGCGCCGGCCGCGACCAAGATGGCCCGATCGGGGGACGCGGGCGGGCGGGCCGATGAGTCACGGCGGCGGCGGCCCGCGGAACTGCTTCCCGGTCAGGTCAGGCCGGGGCGGCGGCGGCGGGAGGCGGGAGGCGGCCTCGGGCGGGAGCGCGAGCGGGCCCCGGGGCCGGGGTCGCGGCGGAGGGAAGGGCGGGTCGCGGGCGGCCGCGGGGCGGGCGGGGCGGGCGCGGCGGCGGCGGCGGAGGCGGCGGGCGGGCCTCGCGCCGGCCCCGCTGGTTGCCATGGAGACCGCCCGCTCCCGCGTGCGCGGCGGCGGCCGAAGCCCCGCCCCGGAAGTGGCGCGCGCAGCCCCGCCTCCCAGGGCGGCCTCGGCGTCCGTCCGCAGCAGCCAATCAGCGACGCCCGGCGTTGCTGCTCTTTTCTTAGGGGAGAAGCCTTCCCGTTGTCGCGCATCTTCCCGAGGCTGCGAGCCAAGCTCTTTTTGGATACGTTCTAATCGTATTTTCTTTAATGAAACATGCTCTTCATATTGTAACTGGAATACAAGTTCAATGTAATGCATATTCATTGTAGCAAATTTTGATGCCAGAGAAGTTTTTTCCCCCCTCTAAGATTTTTATTTATTCACGAGAGACACACAGAGAGAGGCAGAGACACAGGCAGAGGGAGGAGCAGGCTCCGTGCAGGGAGCCTGATGTGGGACTGGATCCCAGGACCCTGGGGTCACGCCCTGAGCCGACCGCAGATGCCCAACCGCTGAGCCCCGCCCCCTCCCCCGCCCAGGCGTCCCTAACGCCAGAGAATCTTTAAGAAGCAACTTTGTATCACTCAAGAGTCCCTCCACCTGAAGAGCACAAATAGTAATTATTTTTGTGGCTCCACCCGGTCATTTTCCTTCCATATATTCTATGACAAAATACTAATTTTTGTACCTTACGAAACTTTTGTGACTCTGATAGCACACTGAATTTTGAGCATTTTCGCATTAATTTCAAAAGCATGATTTTCAGGTATTGCCTTGTGTCCCACTGAAATCACACACCATGCCCCTTTTCATGGGTCTCTATCTTATTTCCATGCAAAGTTCTATGAACCTTACTTGTATATAAATCCCAGCCCTTTCTCTGCCAAGTGCTCCAGGGTAATTGCCTCGGAGTCAAGTTTCTGGGATGAAGAGTATGAGGATCTGGGTGCTTTTCCCCGCTCGACCTCGTGAAGCGGCTTCTGGGTGGTCAGTCCCAGGCTGGGGCATGGCCAGAGAGAAAAGACATTCACCATGCCAGTCTTTGGAGAACATGTCTTCCAGGAGGCTGAACCACTGGCAGCCCCTGCATTCCTCAGGCAATCCTGGGACAGAGTCACTTCTCTCACACCTTTCCAGTTCTTGCTTGTATAAAATGGGAATTGGCACCTGAGGGTGTCAGTACTTGAAGAGGATAGGATAGTCTAGCAGTGCTCACAACTGTGTGCACCCCAGTATGCCAAAGGGTGCACATTTCGTGACCAGATGAAAACTTCTAGGACATAAGGGAAGAGAGGTGTTTCTTTTCTTTTTTTTAAGATTTTATTTATTTATTCATGAGAGATACACAGAGAGAGGCAGAGACACAGACAGAGGGAGAAGCAGGCTCATGCAGGGAGCCCGATGCGGGACTCGATCCCAGGACTCCAGGATCACGCCCTGAGCCGGAGGGAGGTGCTCAACCGCTGAGCCACCCAGGCGTCGCAGGAGAGGTGTTTCTTTAAACAACCTCCAAAGGAGAGGGGGCAGGAGCTGCATTCATCTCCACTGAGGTCAGTGCAGAAACTGACTTGGACCCCATTAGCCCTCCCACTTCTTCCAAACACACACAGGAATCCCCGTCTGCTCCTTTGAATCACCCCATAAATCTCTCTGCCTCAGCATCAGGGTTATACATCACCATATCCCTGAACACTATACATATGAGGGAAGCATCTGTGACAATCTCAGGTGTGGTTGACACTATAAATCCTAAATTTCTGGGTGCATTGAATATAAGGTGCACTGTCATTTCAGAAATGATGAAACATGAATTTAAAGAAAATTTATTTGTATTTCCCGTTATTTCAAATAGGATATAAAGTGGCATCACATAAAAACAGCGAAATGAAAATCAATAGAGTGTTAAAAATAAGAGAAGCAGGGACAGAGTATTTGGCTTCTGACCCAGACAATCTGTGGTTCACCCTCTGAGATAGCTCTCTCTGCTCCAAACGGAACAATGATAAACTGTACAAAGAAAGTGTTGAGAGCATCTGACTGGGCTCAAAAACAAGATGAACTCCACTGTGGTCCAAAAATACAAACTGCTGAGTTTTAACAAAGCCATAGGCCTGCTGGTCGCTAGGTCCTGAGGCATAATGGGGACATAAGGCTGGCAACAGTATCAGGCTTTTTCTTTGAAGCCTGGGGAAAGAGGGGGTCACCTGTATGTCAGAAAGCAGTCTGAAAAATCTGCTTTGACCATTTCATGGGGGCGACAGCTTCTATGAAGGTGTAACCCTGGGACAAGGAAGAGCACACAATATCATGAATCTTAAGCCCCCTGGCTTGGCAAGTAGACCCTGAGGGCCAGGAAGTGTGAAGCGCCACCACCAATATAAAACATGTTCTGTACTATGGACCAGGCACCACGGGAGCAGCCCCAAACTGCTAGACTGAGGAGGAAGGGGGCTCTAGAGGATAGGAGGGTTGTGTACACAGAGAATACACACACTCAGAAGGTGAAAGATAGCATTTTATCCCAAAATGAATCTAAAACTCAAAACTTAAGGCCCATGAAGACATCTAATCCTAAGGATAATGGCCACTAAAATTAATAATCATAAATTAACTCCAGGTGAAATTAAAATAATAGAACAGTCTAAAAAAAGGCTTTAAAGGAAGTGTATTTAGGATCCTCTATAAGGCTATGAAGTAATAACACTTGTAAAAAGAACAGACATGATGTGGGGTGGGTAGGTTGGGGTCAGGAAGGCAAAAATGTAATGAGATGAGGTGGCAATGAGAAAGTACCTTTTAAAAGGCAATAAAGTCAACTTCCAGTTCCAGGAAGATGGAGTTAGTTCAGTCTTCCTTATTCTTTGAGCAAAACACAACAGAAAAGAACTAAAAAATAAAAAGAGGGAGACTTTAAAAAGTGGAGAAAGAAAGGCAGATTGGCTAGGTTGTTCAGGACCCAAGGACTCACAGCAGTGAGTTCCTTGAGTATTCTTTTGCATCATACATTGCAGAGCCGGAGAACCTGACAACCTGGAAGTGCCAGTGGGTACAGACAGAAATCTCCCCTCAAAAGCCTGCTCTTTCAAGCCAAAGAACCAAGAAAGCTACAGCCTACGAAGGTAGAAAACGTTTAGACAATACTCAAACTCTCAAAAGTCAAAGACAAAGAATCTGAAAGTAGCAAGAGAGAAGCAAGTGATTTTGTATGAAGTGTCATCAATAAAATAAACATCTGGTTTCTCATCAGAAACCATGGAAGCCAGAAGGCAGTGGGAGGAAAAATTCAAAACACTGAAAGAAAAGACTGTCAACCAAGAATTCTATATTCAGCAAAACCAGCTTTCAAAAATGAAGGAAAAATTGGGACACTCCCAAGGAAATAGAACTGGAGACCATTCGTCAACAGCAGACCTGTTCTATGAAAAATAACAAAGCGAGGTCTCAAAAATATGTAAAAGAAACAGATTAAAAATTGTACATTAGAAAATAACTATTTCATATTTCAAAATAACTATTTCATTAAAATTGTACATTAGATGGCAGCCCGGGTGGCTCAGCGGTTTAGTGCCGCCTTTGGCCCAGAGCATGATCCTGGAGAACAGGGATCGAGTCCCATGTCGGGCTCCCTGCGTGGAGCCTGCTTCTCCCTCTGCCTGTGTCTCTGCCTCTCTCTCTCTCTGTGTGTGTCTCTCATGAATAAATAAATAAATAAATCTTTAAAAAAAAGAAAAAAATTGTACATTATAAAATAACTATTTCATAACTATTTCAGAAGGCAGTAGTGGAGGAATAGAGAAACAAAAAAATAGAACATATAGAAAACAAATCGGCAGGTATAAATCCTACCCTATCAACAATACATTAAATGTAAATGAATTAAACACTCCCATTGAAAGGTCAAAATTGGCAAAATGGATTGTTAAAAATGATCCAATTCAAGGCTGTCTATGAAAGGCACATTTTCAATTGAAAGACGCAAATTAAGTTGAAAGTAAATGAATAGGAAATGATATATCCTTCAAATTAGCCAAAAAAGAACTGGATTGGCTCTACTAACATCAAACAAAACAGACTTTAAGGCAAAAATTGTTACTAGAGAAAAAGAAGGAGACTTTATAGTGGTAAAAAGATCAATCCACTGAGACAACAAGTATGAACACATATGCACTTAACAATAGAGTCTACTGCTTCAAGCCTTATCTACAAATGTCTAGCAATCAAGAATGTATAGTCTGGGGGCACCTGGGGGGCTCAGTCAGTTAAGTGTCTGCCTTTGGCTCAGATCATGATCCCAGGGTCCTGGGATAGAGCCCCACTTTGGGCTAGCTGCTCAGCGGGGAGCCCGTTTCTCTCTCTGTCCCTCCCCCTGCTCTTGCGCTCTCCCTCTCTCTCTAATAAATAAATAAAATCTTTTTTAAAAAATGAATATATAGTCTAAACCAGTGAGATTGAATTTAATGTCCAGAAATAAACCCTAATATTTATAGTTAATCACTTTCAAAAAGAGGACCAAAGTATAGTCATTCCTGAGCAAACTAGCTATCCATAGCAAAGAATTAAGTCAGACTCCCTACCTCACACCCGATACAAAAATTAGCTCAAAATGGATTAAAGACTAAGCAAAAGAGTTAAAACTACCAAGGTCTTTGAGGAAAACCTAGTGATAAATCTTTGTAATCTTGGGTCGTGCAATGGCATCTTAGATATGACATCAAAGTACAAGTGACAACAGAAAAAAATGGTAAATGGCATTTTTCCCAAATTAAAAACTTTTTGTTTCTTTTTTTTTAAAGATTTTATTTATTTATTCATGAGAGACACACACAGAGAGAGAGAGTCAGAGACACAGGCAGAAGGAGAAGCAGGCTCCATGCAGGGAGCCCGATGTGGGACTCGATCCCAGGTCTCCAGGATCAGGCCCTGGGCCGAAGGTGGCGCTAAAC